CCCCCCCCCCCCAAAAAAAAAAACATGCTTGTCTTATTTGCTTGAAATTTACCGGGAATTTTACAATCATCATGGTTTTGGTGAATGAAAAATGAACAAAAGTGCATGATTGAAAAAGTCAATTTTGCAAATTACAATGAAAAAAAGTGAAAACTCAACATAAAATCTTTAGATCCTGAATTATTCATACCATTCCTGTTCATTGTCATCCTTATGTTTTATAAAACATCCTTTTTAATTTAACAGAAAAATTAAACAAAAGAGTGATGCTTTCCCACTAACTTACGTGACTGCCACTCTTTATCTTTGATTTAAGAATAAGAATATATGATTTTCCTAGTATCCATAAAAAAAGAATACGAATATATGATTTATTTTCCTTTCTTATTTTTTCCTCTGTTATTCCCTTCTATTTTTCCAAAAAAGAAGCTGTCCCACACGAACCTTTTATTTCAACACCCATTTGCTGCAACATCACATTATATCACCCAATTTTACAATTACTTGTCGGTGAACTAGCAAATATAAAGTGTGACTATATAATTTCACATCCCTTTCATTTACTTTCATTGTTCACATTCAATCAATTGGAGCAAACAAGGTAACCCCAAATTTCTTAAACCCTAGATCTCTATTTCCCGTTTACATATATTGAACTTCAAGTTTATGTGTATATGTACTGTGCTTGTATGTAGGTTTGAGGAAAGTCACTAAGCTAAGCTGTTGATTTCTCATTTTTTAGGGATTTGTGGTTTTTTTTGTTTGCTAATTTGGTTTTGGATTTTGATTTTATTCCTTTTGTGCTAAAAAGTTGTTTTGATATAATTATGAGAGTTTGATTCACTCAGTGAGCAATTTTCACGTCACTCTGAACAATTAAGGAATTCTGGTATATTTCAAAACAATAGAGGAACGGATACAAAGGATTGATATAGCTGATTCTAACTAATTTAGGATTGAGGCGCAGTAGATGGATTTTATAGTTATTCAATTTCTGATTGTTAAAAGGAGGAGTTGAGTGATGAGGATCCTATAGTGAAAGGAAAGTGGGCTTTCCTCCAGTTGTTGGCGTTTTTAACATGTCGCATCTTAAGGAAGTGTTTGATGAATAATTGGCGTCAAAGATTGGAGAAGTCCGTGGGAAGGGAATCATGGGGTCTCAGGTACAAATCTCTGCGGAGGTAAAAACACTAGGTGATTTTTTTCCATTTGTCTAAACCTTGGTGAGCTTTTGCACCGAAGACCACCATCATTCACAATTTTTTATTTTTTTTGGGGATTAGTTAAGTAGTTTTATCTGTAGTAGGGTCTCTCTTTCAATTTTAATGGGAAAGTTGGCAAGAAGTTTAGTGGTTGTTTTGGAGAAAATTTGGAGTCTAGAAGGAGCTTAACAAATGCTGAAGCACGTAGGAAAAGGGTAATGGCATATTGTGATAATACCTCTTCTATCGGCTCTAGTCAATATAGGTCAATGTTGACCTTGATTTAATATAAAGGAGGAAAAGATGATTTATAAACTGACATGTGAGTATTACTCGTCGTTCTGACTGAGAGCCTGTCTTTTTTTAAAATCATCAACTATATAACGACTGAGAGCCTCATAATGCTTCATGCCTCCTCTGATCACTTTCCTAGCCTCATAATGCTTCATGCCTCCTCTGAACACTTGGAAACTAAGAGATAGGGTGGATTTAGAAAAGGGAAAATAATTGATTAAATCAGTAAGCTAGTTAACTAGAAGCCCAAATTCTTGAAAAACATCAAGTGCTTGTGATGGGTAGTGGGAGGCAGAGTTAAGGGTACTCTTTACAACCTAAAGAAGCCAAAATCTCCATTACCAAAGTTGAGAGTGTAACTTAAAGGATCAAAATGGAAGCTCAATTTGTCATTTTTCTTCTTCTTGTAGCTGTTTTTCTGGTTCATAAGGTGCTCTGAGCCTCGAGAAAATGCACCTGAACTTCCTGTTACCAACTAAAACAATCACACTTTAATCATAATACACCCTGACCATTATCCGCATTACCGTATCGATATAAAAAATACGCCTGAACTTCCTACTACCAACAAAAACATCACACTTTAATCATAATACATCCTGATCATTATTCCTATTTTCATATGGATATAGCTCTGAAATTTACCCTCCAGACACTATGCTTTTGAGGCATAGTGTTGCTGTTGTCAAAATGATTCATGCCTTTTCTGATGAGTGCTTGAAGCATAAGCATCTTTCTTCGAAGTGGTTCTAGATAATATATAGGTGCATGTGGACTTCCAAAGCATGTAACTCTCATGATGGTTGAGTTTTATATATTTGCTGTTAAATTTTAGAGTTTCTTTCATGATTTTTCTTTATTATACTATTATAGATTGATCAGTGCTATACAAAATTGTCATATTTGTTAGCGTACTTTATTTCTGTGCTTTGACCTGTTGTCCTTGTACTAGTTCTTCTTGTGTTATGCTGCTTTTAATTTTCAGTGTGCTTCTTTGAGGATCTTTATGTTATCCTTGCTGTTCATGGTTCAATTCTATCATCTGGCTTGAATCAGGTATCGTTGGATCTAACAAGTAAGAAGCAAAGATATGGGTCGTGGAGTCAGCAGTGGAGGAGGTCAGAGCTCATTAGGATACTTGTTTGGGAGTGGTGAGGCTCCAAAATCAACCCCAACAAATCCCCAGGCTGTTCAAAGTGAAGCTCAGCCAATAAATAAAGAACCATCTCCAAAACCTGTTGCTGCTGCTCCTCCTGCTGATGCTACTAAGCAGATTCCCGCAGGTATTCAGAGTATCAGGGCAGATGGTCAAAATACGGGCAACTTTATCACGGTACATACTTATGCACAATTCTTATAATGCTTTGCTGGAGAGGTTTTTTCACTGGAAGCAAAAGGGGGTATAAGGGAGGACTCAGGGACCACCGATAACATGCATTCTCCTATAGTAAATATAAGGTGTCTGGTAATGCCAAGAAACTTACCGATAAAAACTAAGCTTAGGTGAACTTAAGACATCTTCACAAGCCCCCTCTTTGTACTAAATATAACTATGAGGTAGTACTTCTCTAATAGCCTGTTTGGTAGTGTTAAGTAGTGAGAATGTTCTGTTAGCTTGAAATTTAAGTGATTGATCTTTGTGACTGATTTGTAAGGAATTGTTGAGGATTTAAGGGGTAGGCCTGTGTGACTCCTTTCAGTCAAGAAACTTAAACAAGTATTTTGGTTAGAAAACCTTATTGATTGTCACCATTGAATTATGATGGTGTAATTCTTTTTACTTTGCAGTTGAGTAGACCTTTTTCTTGCTTTTATAATCATATGTCATTTGTTAGGGAAATATTGTCTGGTTTTAACTGAGTTATTGCCTTGTTATAGGATCGACCATCTACCAAAATCCATGCTGCCCCTGGTGGTGGATCTTCTCTGGGATATCTCTTTGGTGGTGGCAGCAGCTGATAAAGACATCCCAATCACCCATCACGGTTTTATTATTTCTATACGTTATCTTTCAACTATGTTGTAAGTGTGATTGTGATTATTGCAGAATGTCAGTGTTGTTTTATGTTGCTACCTGGTGGGTGAGGGAGTTTTCTATGTCAAGGATAAATGGTGTAATTGCACAAACTTCTGTCCATAATCTCAGTTGAAAGCTTTGATCTAAGTTACTCTTTTTGTTGTTACATAGGGCTTTTTTGTGACTAGTGGTCGAACATCTTGTTTCATAAATTTCATATTCTTTGATTATTTTGCCGCTTGATGGTATGAGGTAAGATTTATAATTTAAAAAATGTTGCATTATATGATAATACGATTTCCTTGGAAAAATAACTTGACATGAATGAAATATTGACATGTGCAACAAGGAGGTGAATTCAGGATTTGAAGATTATGGATTCTTACAACACTCTAGGTATAGAACACTGATATCCACACTCCAGCGACGCAAAACATGATAGTTTGAAAACCAAGATTGAGAAGGAGAAATGGTTAAAGTGAAGATGAAACAAAATCAAAGAAAAGAGGAAATACCCATATATGTCAGGTAGGTCCTTGGCCAAGGAGCAGGCAAATAGTAATTACTGGTCCACAAGCCAAGAAGGTATTATTTCCCATCCTTTCATCAGAAATAGACCATTCTTTTCTCACTAATCCTACTAGCAGCTCAACTCCATCACTCCTCCCCTGGCACAAAATAAGTATTTCAACTGTTCTTAGGATCTCCAAGTTGAAGTCAAAGCTACATATTTACAGCAAATTCAGCTGCATTCATTATCTCTCGCTCGATGTTAATACTAAATCTTGAATTCGCCTCACTATAGTGTCTTCTAATCATGGTTAGAAATAACTTTTGTTGTTCGTTGACTTCGTTATCACCCAGAAGCATCAACCGTTCTGGTTTATTTGCGTACATCTGCTGCTTAATTCTCAAGTTTTTATCCTATGCATCCCTAAACTAATATAAAAGTGGTCGGTCTAGGACCCAACAACAACAAAAAAGGAGTATATGTTGAGAATTTAATATATATAAAAAAAATTGCAATATCATACTTGCCTACAACAATAGGAAACAGATTTTCATATCAAGCCGATCATAATCTGAAAAATAGATAGTAACGTACAATAATCGGTTAATTGCATTTATANCCCCCACCCAAACCCCCCATGTAAAAATTGACCTCGAAAATGAACAGAACAGACTAATGTTGGATCACCACTTCATTCTGATATTTTTTTAAAGTTGAAACCGTTTGATGTAAATATCTCTTATAATTGCTAACAACGTGCATCAAATTCATGTACTCCTATTGATCTTTTTCAATTTCTTAGTCACTGTTACTTGTCTGAGAAATGAAAAGGTTTAAATAGTGCGAAAAATAATAGAAACAAGAAGAGATTTAGACAGGAGAGTACATTGAGAGCTGAACCAATGAAAAAAAAGGTAATGTGAAACTTCATTTCGTCAATTAATATAGCTTTGATGATAGAATAGGAAAATGAAGGATGAATAGTTCAAACGATTGATACAAGGCTTGAAGATACAGGATAGAGGGGCCTGTGAGGACAACTGAACGAAATGAAAGGACAATTTGTGATTAGATGAGAAAAATCTTTAAAAAAAAAAAAAAAAAAAAGGCAAGAAGAAGCACACCCTAATAACTTGATTAATAACTTGTTTGGCCAAGTTGTTTATAGACCCAAAGTACTTTTTTTTCTTCTAAAGTATCTTTTTAAAGTTAAAATATTTGGCCAAACTTTTAAAAGAAAAAAAAAAGTACTTCTAGACAGGTCTATGATTGATTAAGAGCTTGTTTGACCAAGCTTTGGGAGACCGGAAAAAAGTACTTTTTAAATATTTAAGTTGTTTACCAAGATAATGAAGTACTTTTGGCCAGCAGCAGAAGCAGTTTTTCTGCTTTTGGGAAGAAGCAGAAAATTCTAGTTTTTTCCAAGAAGCAAAAGTAGAAGCAGAAAATTAATTTATTCAAGACAAAACTATCCCCACTTTAAAATTTACACTTTTCAAATTATCCATTACTAATTTAAGCTTCTTTTTCATATTTGTTTTTTATGTTTATCATTCCTTAAATTTAAAGATGTCATATACATGAATCATATTGTAACTTTCCAAATTCTTTATTGATTTTTCTTGTTTTTTTTTGGGTGTAATGTCTTGTAACTTTTCAAATTATCTTCTTCTTTTTTCACACTAAAGCAAATTATCTACATCCTTCTTTGGATTATCAATTCTTTTCCCACAAATAATCATTTATAATGTCTTCTGTTATAGGCTATTAGTTTTCGAATCTTTAAAACAGTTATCAAATCTAATTTGTGAAAATTACCTACAAATAGATAATAAATTTATAATTTCATCACAAAATCTATCTATATACTATTAAAAGATGAAGAAAAAATATCCACATTAATCCAAGTGGTAGTCTCACAATAGGCCGCTAGGCAATTATGACAAAGTTGGTTAGGTTAGGTAATAATTAGTTTCTAATTTAAATTTTAAAAAGTTTAAATTATACATTATGTGTTGCTAATAATTAGTTACTCTTTAAAATTATTTTTATTTTATGCTCAATGCCATATTTCAAGTTTGTCACTCAGAATCATCTAGTTACAACTATCACGACTATACATAATTTCATCTGATGATATTCTTCTACCGATAAGTAATTCAATTATTATGCTATAAAGACACTACTGCAACGATTGAAGAAGGAGATGGGTCTTGTGATATTCCTTTAGAAATGCAAGGCAAATCTTCTACTAATACGGAGGCGTTGTGTAGTAGAAGCGGAGATGAAATTGTTGAAAAATATCATCATGTGTGAGTGACTTTACTTATTATTTCATGGTGGATTATCAATATATAGTAATTTGTGGAATAGACTTTTAATTCATGAGAAATAACGTATTTTGATTATTCAAATCATTGTGTAACAATAAATAATTATACTAGATAATATTATATACCTTGCTATAACTATATATGCAAATTGAGTTAAATCTTTATTATGTTTGTTTACTTTATATTTTATATTTTAATTAAATAAAATAAAAAATAATGAAAGTCTATTACAATAAATATTTAAGTTCATTTTTCTCTTTAAAATAATTATAAGATCTTGTTACTATCCTTTTTGATAATTTGACACTCAAAAGCACTTTTTAGAAAGATTGGTCAAACACAATTTGTTAAACAAATGTTGCAAAAAGTACTTCTTAAATAATTGGCCAAACACAAGTTATTATTTTTTTTCAAAAATACTTCTGAAAAAAAGTACTTTTTAAAATAAGCAAATTTTGGCAGCTTGGCCAAACGGGCTCTAAATCCCAATCTTTTAATTCTTATAGGTTATAATCTATTACATCCAATTATTGCAAGAGCCCTTTAATTTATTTTTTATTTTAATCTCAAATAGGGTCATATACATCATGTTGACATTTTTCCCCTAAACATATTGACAATGATTTTTGTCAAATTTTATGTCGTTCATGACGTGGTGATTCAATCTTCTTCGTCAATGGTCAAATTATGTAGTCTAATACCTTGGGAGAATTTAATAATAATATAAAGGCTAGAAATTGTAGAACAAAATATTCTTAATTGATTTCCCAAAGAAGAATGAGTAAATTTGTCTATGAGATAAGCACTTGTTAGCATGGAATTCGAGAATGAGTTGAATTTATACTATATTTATTGTACTTAACATTATCTTGTATTATTCACCCTTACTTTACTATCTATCTAGTAAATAAGTAACTTTATCTATGATTTTCAGAAATGCTCATCCCTATACAACTCTCACTCGGGAAAGGAAGATAGTAAAGATCAAAACCAAAATTAAGAAATTCTTCACGTGATAACCAATAAAAAAAATCCTTTTCCATTTAACGGCAATGCTAATATAATCAAAGAGAAACTTGTTTGATTATGCAAAAAAGGGTTTGAGATCCCGGGGTGTATAATTTCAATAATTATGTTTAACCGAAGTTAGAATAAAATTAAATAGGGGAAAATGTCAAGGCAAAGATAGTATTTGTAACTCATGTTTTCTTTCCAAAATGGAGTAAATAGTACAAAGTCTCCATCATAAAAATTGGAAAAAAAAAATAGAAAAGAAATGGTAGGACTTAATAATGTTAGATTCCTAAAACTGGGGTAGGAAGTATTCTTGATATGTCATGATAGTGGGGTTTTTATTAGTTAACAACTCTCTATTTTGCTACTGTTGTTTGAAAATGATGGCTTGAGATTCCAAAATTACCTATGATATTTCATGATTTCTTCCTCTTATACTTTTGTTCTCTGTTCTTTTATTTTCAAAGGTGGTGGAGGTGGGGATGAACTGAAGAAAATGATGGGTGACATGATTTCTTGTCTACAAACACAATGAAAGATGACATAAACTTTGGTTCTTTGTGAAAAACGAATACTCATAATGCATTGAAATGGCATAGTTCATTTTCACATTTTAGTTATAATTAGTTAGTCATGCATTCATAGCAAACATGCAAAAGAAAAGAAAAAATAGAAGTCCATACCTGATCTTTCATAAGGACATACTCAGAGGCGAATCTAGAATTTCTCGAATATGGGTGCACCACTAAAAGAATGAAGAAAAAAATGTTAAGTGGGAATTGATCCCAATCTCTTTTGAATAAATAATTAAGTACTGAACCAAGTGCACCATTCAACCTTTATAGAACATGTGCACCCAGAGGCGGACCTACGTTGCATGTAGAGGGGTTACGAGACCCCGTTAGTCTCGGCAAAAATTTTGTATATATATGTTTTATATATATATATGACCCCTTAAATATTTTAGTTGTGCCCCTTGAAATAAAAAGGCTGACGGAAGAAGTGTTTTTTCTGGGTGGCTTAAAGTCCCTTGTTTGCTGAATGATCCGGGTTCGAGTCCCTCCTTCAGTATTTTTAGCTCATTGAATGAATACAACATAGCTTTATATACTTAATAACAAATTGTTTTAATTTATTCTTTATTCTTTATTCTTTTTCTTTTGAATTTAATTATAGTTTAGTTCTAACTTCTAATACATAATAGTTAATTATTATTTTTTTCAAATTCATGCCTTAAAATTAAAAGTTTCACTCCACAAATAGAATAATACAAATTCTTATGTCACAGCTTTCTTCATCAATCACTTT